TGGTTTATCGAGTCGTACTCCATATATATATATATATATATGGTACCCCCCCCAAAGATCTACCCGATTCTGTCTGTCTTGAGCTCTTCGTGTGCAATCCCTGCCGATTTGTTCTTCATGTCGTCTGTATGTCTGTCTTCCCACGTGAATACCCCAACATTTAGCAAACACTCTCTCTCTCTCTCTCACACACACACGGACACGTACACAAGGTCTATGGAACTTCGCAGTACTGTGGCCTGGATTGAAACTGATGGAAGGATTAAATTTCAATCCGGGTCCGGATCCAAGAGCCAACATCCAAGATTCTCCCAGGACTCTTTGGGCAGAATCTTGGATCTTGGATCTTGGATCCGGGCCCGGATCAATCCTTCAACCCAGTCTCAATCCGGATCCAAGATTCTGCCCAAAGACTCCTGGGAGAATCTTGGATCCGGGCTCGCATGGAACTTCAATCCTTCAATCCAGCTTCAATCTTGCATCGTTTGCTGCATGCCCGTGTGTCTGATTGCACTGTGAGCCGATCCGCATCCTGCGTCCCCAAGCCTTGGTTAGCCTGGTCTGTGATCGCCATGAGCGACTGGAGCAGAGCAGTTTCCGGGATGGTGATGTTTCGTGATGGCGAGGCCTTTTTACGCCTGACTCCCGGTGCACCCACATCTTCAGTGCCTACCTCATCGACGTCGGCGACTGCAGATGCAGCCACCGGCTCCACCATGGGGAATCGTACGCGGCCATGATGAGTGCAATCGACAAGAATGAGGTGCAAGTTCATTGTTCGCGGCTGCCTATGTCCGCCAAGGACTTGGGCACGATGCTCAATAACGTGAAAAGGGCCCTAAAGATGACGATTGGGAAGAACGGCGAGTGGTCTTCGGAGGCCAACCAACTTTTCCTCAAGCGGCTCGCCAAGCGCAAGCGCATCGCCAAGGCGATCCCCCGGGCCATCTTGGATGCCCCGTTCGCCATCGAGGATGCGAATGGAACAATCAAAGTCAGGTCATGCATCTCGGTAACACGGCAGAGCACAACCACAACGACGATGCCAAGGCGGAGCACAACCAAGCCGATGATGACGACAGTGACGATTCCGATTCCGATGAAGGCTCGTCAACGTCAAGCTCCAATGAGGCTTCCGTTGAGCGAGAAGGACACATGAACCTGGACAACAGGTTGGCACGATGCTCAATAACATGAACAGGGCGCCAAAGATGACGATCGGGAAGAACGGCGAGTAGTCTTCGGAGGCCAACCAACTTTTCCTCAAGTAGCTCGCCATGCGCAAGCGCATCGCCAAGGCGATCCCCCGGGCTATCTTGGATGCCCCGTTCGCCATCGAGGACGCGAATGGGGTGAACAATCAAAGTCAGGTCATGGATCCTGGTAACACGACCGAGCACAACCACAACGACGATGACAAGGCGGAGCACGACCAAGACGATGATGACGAGAGTGACGATTCCGATTCCGATGACGGCTCGTCAACGTCAAGCTCCAATGAGGCTTCCGTTGAGCGGAAGAAGCAGCCTATCAGGCAGAAGGACACATGAACCTGGACAACAGGTTGGCACGATGCGTGGGAAAGCATGAAACTTGTGCTCGATGAAGGCTTCTACAACCGCAGAGGCGCCGTCTTGCATACAAAGTGTTGGCGGTTCGCAAAGATGCCAAGATTGAGTGGGATCGCTCGTGAGAGACACGGTTGCTCCGTGACGGTGCGTCTTGTACAACCCCCCCCCGAGTTCGGTGGCTTGCGGGACATGCCCGAGAAGCACGGTTCGACGAGCTCCCTCCATGCATGTCTCCTGGAAACAAGCTGCTCGCCAATTCCTCTGTGGGTGGGCGTCGTGATGAAGATTGTTCACTTTGCTGATATGTAAGGTTGCGACGAATGCAACAAGCAAGTATTGCACAGGCGAAGCCTATGTGGCTGCCTTCAGGTCCGGTCCATGGGCAGTACGGAAGGCTGTGCAAAACCTTCTTGGTAGAATTCCGGGTCACTTTGTGTTCTGGCATTCTGTCACCCGTCACCCGTCTTTTTTGTTTCACAAGTGTAGTCGTGCTTGCTTGCATTCGTATATTCCTCCCGCTGTAAGTTTATGCTTTGTGTCCATCACCCGTGTATCATATACATAGAGACATACAGAAGGGTTTACGCATACTGCATATACATGATATTGTAGGTGGTGTGGGTGCCAAGAGCTTTCAGGCAATGCTGTGGAATGGAAGGGTTCTTTCGGATTAATATTTGAGGGGTTTTTTTACCAATACAGCCAAAACGCACGGATCTTTGGGGGGACTGTTTAGACTGTTATTGCATGGGGGCAGTACCCAAGGTGTAGGGTTGAAAGCCCGCAGAAAGACACCGACACAGAAGCAAATACGACGACCAGGTATAAAAGCGGACTTCGCCACAAGTACCTGGCCCTCCGTTCTTTGGGTATGTACAGAAGAAGCAGACGAAAATGGGAACCTTTTATAGAAAAAAACGCAACGGACCCTTTGGCAAATCTTACAGGAACCCTCATAAAATCTTGGGTTCGCCCTTACAAACAGGACGAGCTCATCGATGTGCTCCTCACTGAGCTGGATCTGCCGAACACGCAGACCTCCTTGAGCAAAAAGGCCCTTTGGGGTTTGGGATTTGGGGTTATGGGTTTTTTGGTTAAGGCTTCTCGAGGTTAGGGTTCAGGGTTTGGGGCTTACGGTTAATTGGTTGGGGTTGAGGTGTAGGGTTTGGGGGTTGGCGTAGCGTTTCGTGGCCTTGCCCTGTGTTCATGATTTGGTCTTGTGTAAGGTTTTGGACTGGTGGGTCGCAAGGTGCAGTGAGTCATGACAAAAATCTTAAACCGTGATTCCTGAACCTTAAGCCCAAACCCAACCCAAAGCCCAAACCCCTAAAGGGGTGGAGTCTTACGGTTTTCTTGTAACTTTGACACCTAGAGCGCTTCTGTGCTTACAACCAGCTGTAGCTTCAACAACTTCGAGCAACTGCATTTGGACTTCAGGGTTGAAATCACGAAGATTATATTGTGGACTATCGCTGTCGTGGCAGAGGTTTGCGAGCGTTTGTGAACTTGGAACGCAAATCCTCTGAACCCTAAAACCCCAGACCTACCCAAACCCTCTAAACCCTAAACCCGTAACGCCTTGTCGCACCCCTATAGATCTTCTCACCCTTGGAGAGCTTGTTTACATTTTGATAACCCTAAGCCTTCCCCACCCCCTCTGCTACCCTTGCTACTACAACAACAACTACTACTACTGCTACTGCTACTGCTACTGCTACTGCTACTGATACTGATACTGATACTGCTACTGCTACTGCTACTGCTACTGCTACTGCTACTGCTACTGCTACTGCTACTGCTACTGCTACTGCTACTGCTACTGATACTGATACTGATACTGATACTGATACTGATGCTACTACTACTATTATTATTATTACTACTACTACTACTACTGCTACTACTACTACTACTACTACTACTACTACTACTCCACGACTACAACTACGACTACAACTACGACGGGACCTACACCCCCAGCGAGAAACCTACGGGGTTAGAATTGCCCCGCAGCTTTCTGTAATGTGGTCCTTGGGCGCGAAATCTTAAGACATAAGTCCGTCCTCATGAGGCCGGCCAGAGTTTAGGATTGAGGGTTAGATTTTAGGTCTTAGGGCTGAGGGTTTGAGAGCCGTGATGTTAATTAAACCTATGGTGTGCATCTAAGGTTCACTACTCCCCTATATTTCTGTAAACCCGAATAAGCCCCCGAACAACCCTTAAAGCCATCCTGTAAAGAAAGACCTGCAAAATCTGTAGAAGCCTCCAAACACAAACACCGTACCCTGAACCCCAAGCCCTAAAGCCCAAGCCTTAAACCCCACAGCCTAAACCCTAAACCCTGAATTGCCTTGAAGTCTAAACTCTAGATCCCAAAGCCTAAGCCCGGAAACAGCAGGAAGCCTGTAAAGCCCTAAGCACCTACACAATCCCATTGTACCCTTTGATATAGTAGGTTCCTTACAGGAACCCTTAAAGGAATCATGGGGAAACCATGAGGAAGCCTGGAAAAACCCTAAAAGCCGACAAAGAACCCGCTTCAGCCAGGCGCCGATCTATGGCTCGCACCCATCGCTTTCGGGGCCCCGTTGCCGCATTTTTGTTGGGGGCGGCGACTGGGGTTTCGGAATTGGGGTAGGGTTCAAAATTTAGGGCTCATGGTTTAGGGTTTAGGGTTTAGGGTTGTTGACTAGGGTTTTGGGTTTAGGGTTTTTTCTCGTGGAGGGCGGGGTTGGGGTATAGGGTAAGGGTCCATGTGCCTACATCGGGCTAGGCTTAAGGGCTGAGGGTTTAGGGTTTCAGAGGTTTGTCTCGTGGCTGGCGAGGGTCCATGTGCTTTCGCCGAATTACTCTACTTGGGCCCTAGGACATGGACCCGCGGAAGATTGCTTCTGCCCTAAACCCTAATGCCCCAAACCTACACGCGAAACCCTGCAACCTGTAAGACTTTTGAACCCCAGAGGGTCCATATATACTGCCATTATGGAATTAGGTCCCCAAAACCATAATGAGGATGGTCTTTTGGGACCTAATTCCATAATGGTAGTATATGAGGACCCTCTGGGAACACTGCAAACCCGACACCCTGAGCCCCAAGCCCTAAGCCCTGAACCCGGAAAGCCCCAAAACCCAAGGTTTTGGGCTTTTGCGTTTACCTGGGCTCTCAAGAACCTACCCTAAAGCTCCAAGTATACAAATACTACCTACTTTGGGCTCTAAAGTCTATAAATAGTGCCTACTTTGGGCTATTTGGAGCCCCGGGGCTGCCTTTCTTTTTGATTGTTACTGGTACGTCTGGTTGGGTGTCATTCAGCACGGTAATCCTGCCAACTTCTCCTTGCACCTGGGGTGTTGTGGCGACAAACCCAAAGGGTCCAACGTACCGATATAGTAGAATGTAGGGTTTCTATATTAGGAACAGCTATTATGATTTAGGGAAGTATCCCCCATAACAGTACATAGGACCCTTTGGGAAACAAACCTGTGACAGGGTTTTTGATGCGGATGCCAAATGTTGTTCTATTGACAGACTCCGCGCGGGCATACGCCTCAGTCAATGTTGGCATCGTGGAGAAGCACACCGTGAACCACAGCGAGCACGAATTATCTTGATCAGTTTCAGTGCTGAAAATGTTTCAACACAGGAGCGGAGGGCCGGCACGCATCTCGTTGACAGGGAGTGGGGACTCCTCAAGAGCATGCTGCCAGACGGCCTTTTCGCTCGGACGGCGGAGTTGGGTAGTTAGAAGTAGAGCCTTATAACCCCACTTCTAATTACTCATGCCGTTCGAAGTAGGCTTCAGGTGGGGGGTTTGGGGTCGGTCTGCTCGTGGAGAGTTTTTGGAACGGTTGCTGTTTTCGCCCAAGGTGCGTGTGTGTGTGTGTGTTTGTGTTTGTTTGTTTCCTGTTTTCCTTGGGAAGAAGAGATTTTATATGTTTTTAAAGACTATTGATGGAATCTCTATGGGGATTTAGGGGCTTAAGAGGCTTTGTACAAAGGCGTCGGTGTTTCATGGTTTTGTTTCTTGGTGTGTGTAGGGTTCAGGGTTTGAGGGTTTCCGGATCAGAAGTAGGTATAATAGTTTTTAGAGGGGTTTTACGAATTCTATGAAAGCGGATTCTGCTGAATGAGCTTTGATGAGAAGGGATTTTGATCTCAGTTACTAGCTTTGTTGGCGCCTTAATTGGGTTGTTCATGCGTTAACATTGGGGGGGGTTACGGGTTCAAAAGGGTCTCCGAATTTTGAACTTGCTAACAAAATCACTGGGTTTCAAAGAATTCGTTGTGTAAGGGTTGAGAGTTTGGCGTGTAGGTTGCGGGGTTCAGGGTTTGAGGTTCGGGGCTTAGGTTCAGGATTTAGGGGTTCAGGGGTTCAGTGGTTTAGGGTTTAGGGGTGCAGGGTTTAGGGCATGGGGCTTGGGTTCTGGCTGTGTCTCTTCCTCTGTTTTCTACGACCTGCTGATTATTGCGATGGGTGTTTGTTTACCGTTTTATTGCATCAGAGTTTGGATGTGAAATATAGGGGCCTCAATAATTGCCTACAAGATTTCGTGGGTTTCTTGTTGTAGTTATAGTAGACTATACCCCCCAAACCCTATTCTAATTACTAAGGCCCCTAAACCCTAAACCGTTATAGTAGCCCTTATTATAGAACCCTTTTAAAGGAACCCTTTAAAGGAAACCCCAAACCCTGTTCTAACTAACAAGGCCCTACTACAGTATGGTTTTTTAGAGGCTGCGGTTGAAAGTTTCGCACCTCACGCAACCCTCAGCTCATGCCCTGCTGAGGCTTTGGGTTTTGGTTTGTACAATACTAGAATGATATAATATGACGTATACCCTTTCTGCTTATGGCATAAACCCTAAACCCTAAACCGTGTGTTCCAAAGGTCTGTAGCTTCTACCGGAGCATGGGCCGCTTGTCATGTTGCATGTCAGTTTTAAGGAGATTCAACACACGCCTAGACCCTAAATCTTGAAGCCCTGTGTTTAGGGTTGAGGGGTTTAGGGGTTTAGGGTCTAGGGGTTTAGGGGTTGTTTAGGGTTTAGGGGTTTAGGGGTTTAGGGGTTTAGGGGTTTAGGGGTCTAGGGAAACCCTAAAGCCCTAACCCAAGTCTCAGAGCCCTTCCGAAATCTAAACCCACGAGCCCTAAACCTTTCGAGCACGAAATGAGGCAACAGGCCCCGTCCGAGGGCGAAGCAGCAGGCGAGGTTCCATGGATTACTGTGTTTTCTGAACCTTACGGTTTTGGGGTTCGGAGGTTGACTTCCGGAAGTACGGAGGTCCTTAGGTTTAGGGCACCTTCTAGGGTTTAGGGTTGAGAGTTGTGCTGTGTTTCCGACTTTGATTGAGTTTTCTGGGGCGTTGGATGGTTTTGTTAGGCCGTATCGGGCTGTTTTTCACCGGGGCGAGGAACCTTGTCGTAAGTGCCCGTCAGCTCAAGGGTCCACACCATAAAAGTAGTTGTATATGCATATGCATATGTATACGTATATGTGGATGTAGACGTATAGGTGTATGTATATGTATGTGTAAATTTGTATAGGTATATGTATACCTATGACAATACATGTATGCGTATATGTGTATGTGTATGTTTATGTGTATGTGTATATTTATATGTATGTATATGTTTAGATGTATATATGTACTTATCTATATATGTATATATGTATATATGTTTTATGCATATATGCATACATGTATATATGTATGTTTATATATATATATATATGTGCATGTGTGCATGCATGAACGAATGCATGTATGTGTGTGTATGTAACTGTATGATGTAGCTGTGTGTATGTACGTATGTATGTAAGTAAGTAAGTTTGTATGCATGTATGTATGTATGCATGCACTGTATGCGTGTACTGTATGTATGTATGTATGTATGTATGTAAGTAAGTCTGTATGTATGTATGTACTGTATGTATGTATGTATGTATGTATGTATGTATGTATGTATGTATGTACTGTATGTACTGTCTGTCTGTCTGTCTGTCTGTCTGTCTGTCTGTCTGTCTGTCTGTCTGTCTGTCTGTCTGTCTGTCTGTCTGTCTGTCTGTCTGTCTGTCTGAGGTATGTATGCATGTATGCATGTATTGTGTTATGTACGTAGGTGGGTCGGTGGGGTGGGTAGGTGGGTAGGTGGGTAGGTGGGTAGGTGGGTAGGTGGGTAGGTGGGTAGGTGGGTAGGTGGGTAGGTGGGTAGGTGGGTAGGTGGGTGGGTAGGTGGGTGGGTGGGTGGGTGGGTAGGTAG